GCACTGCCCTACTGACTAGTGATGCAGGGGTCACGGGTTCGATTCCCGGTCTAGTCTACAGGTGAAAGTCCTCCCAGGGTCTAATAAGAACTTGGGTTGTGTATTTGAGGCCGAAGACAATTTAAGGAGGAGGAATGTAATGGTATGGGCCATGGATATCAGCCTGGGTAGCTCAGTCGGTATTTAAGTAACATCAACAATCATGTCGCATACATTTGCCGCATAAATATTTATGAAAGCATTGAGAGCTATTTATTTATCGTTTTGTAATGATATACATTTTTAATATTTTGATATAAAAAATATCTTGACTACAATAAGCAGTAGACAAAATTTTTATTGGAGGAAAATTCGTTAAAATCTAAAATATATTTTTAAAGAGAATACAAAATGTTACGACTCACTTTATTGCTTAATTACTAGATAAAATTAGTTCGTTCAATTATGAACACCGCGCTTCATTTCTTTTATTTCAATTAAAACCAGAAGTCTTTGTCAAGACTGTAGCTCTCCTGGTTTGTACTTGTAACAATTAAGGAAGAGAAAAGTAGCACTTGGACTTAAAACTTTGCAACAGCAATAAATAAATAGTAATCCTTGTTTTACGCTCTTTTTGTGGCAAGATGAATTGCAATCAGACTAAAACTGTAGAAGGAGTAGCCTTTTAAAAGAGTTTTAGAGAAATTTTGATTTTAGTTACCATGGCAACATTATTCATCAAAATCAAAAAAGCAATTAAGACAATTATGTATCTTAGTGTAGTTTACTTGCCATGTTATATTAAAATCAGACCAAACTGTAGGCAAAGTAATGTTTTGAAAGTATATAAAAGAAATTCACTTTTTTTGTAATCATGGCAACACTTCACCAAAATCAAAAACTTGATATACAGAATTCTGCATCTTAGTGTAGTCTACTTTTGTGTAGGAGTGAAACGGTTCACCGCGGTATCGATGCACCGCGGTATTTTTTCTCGGTTTGATACACGGTGCAAAATCTCTAATTTTCGGTTCGGTTCATTTTTCGGTCGGGATCGTTATTCAGTCGGGTTTGGCATAAGGTATAACACGTTACTCAGAATAAATAAGTATAGAAAACGTAAATTTTTGATGACTGATTGCTTGTAAAATAATTTTTGACAGTCAAATAATTTTAATCAATTTCTTCTAGTCAATTTGCAAATAAAATTCGTAAAATATGTGACTAGATTTAGAAAAAGAAAGCATAAAACAACGTAGAATTTGTTTCCTTCTATCAAAATGTATCGTATCGAAAATAACCGAACCGAGACAAAATTATACAATACGTATCGAACCGTGAAGGAGGTGTATCGTTTCACCCCTACTTTTGTGCCAAGTTATATTTAAATCAGACCAAAACTGTAGGAGGAGTCGCATTTTGAATGCATTTCACAGAAATTTCTATTTTTAGTAACCATGGCAACAATGTTCACCAAAATCAAAAATCAATATACAGAATAATGTATCTTAGTGTAGTCTACTTGTATGCCAAGCTATATTGAAATCAGACCAAAACTGTAGGAAGGGTAGCATTTTGAAAGTATTTCACAGAAATTTCTATTTTTAGTAAGCATGGCAACACTGTTCATCAAAATCAAAACCTGATACACAGAATAATGTATCTTAGTGTAGTCTACTTGTGTGCCAAGTCAGTGTTTTTTTTCAGTACTTTGGGACTGGAGGCTGGGGCCCTCTGAGAATTAGGAATTCCAGCGTCAATTAGGCTAAATTGAGAATTTCCAAGAAAACCCAGGCACATAAAAAGCATTGTCAAAAAACATTGTTTTTGTCTTTGTATTACTTTAACAAACAATTGTTATAACAAATCAAGACTATTCTTGGTATGTATTATCTAATTACTTATATCAAGAACAATAGTGGTATGAAATATCTAATTATGAAGAAACCCAACACGGCTGAACAACAAAACCTGCTTGAACTTCACTGAAAAACATGCACTAAACAAACTGAATTCAATCACATATTTTGCAAGTTTTTCTTTGGGAAAACTTTCAATACATTTTGGGAAAATACAGGCATATTTTCAATTGGGACTGGGGCCGAATTTCGGCCCCAAATCTGCCCTAAAAAAATCACTGCAAGTTATATTGAAATCACACCAAAACTGTAGGAGGAGTAGCATTTTGAATGTATTTCACAGAAATTTCTATTTTTAGTAACCATGGCAACACCGTTCATCCAAATCAAAACAGATAAACAGTATTATGTATCTTAGTGTAGTCTACTTATGTGCCAAGTTATATTGAAATCAGACCAAAACTGTAGGAGGAATAGCATTTAAAGAAATTGTTTACAGACAGACAGATAGACAGACAGACGGACACCTTACTTTCGCATAAGTCTCTGACCAGTAGAGCTAAAAATATACAGACAAGCGAAATGCTTCTTTAACAAATAACATTCCAATAAAAGCTTTACCATTCACGTTAGCTCAGTCAGTAGAGCGCTTGCTCCGTGATCGGGAGGTCGTGAGTTCGAATCTCGGCTGCGACTGACCTAAGTCGATAAAAAATGGGTAGCAACTGTTCCTTCGCCATGCGCTCAGCACTTTGAAGTGAAAGTTGCGGGTCCTTCGGATGAGACCTTAAAAAGAGAGGCCCCGTGTCATGGCAGGCGTTGGCACGATAAAGATCCCTCACTGCTCAATGGCCCTGGGTGCTGAGTAAAGGTTAAAATTTGAAGCCCTTCACCGTTATATGGTGACATCTCTATATGAGTGAGAAATTCTCCAATGGGACGTAAAACAACATAGAATCAATCCAATAAAAGCTTACAAAACGAAATTTGTAAGTTTCTTACCGCAAGATCACGCCTGATTAAAACCACAAACAATTAATTGAGCCTGATACACGCAAGATCTCTCACGATACACGAACGAACATGCATGTTTCACGAACGATACTACACAATTGGTTTGTCAACAATAATGTTGCAGCCACTGTATGACGTCACAGAAAATAGTTTCCTTGTCATAATGGGTCTTAATATACTGAGTATTCAACACCTACACATCTGTTATGTATTCAATTTCATAGAATCTTTTGCTATTAGAAATGGAATACTTTTAAACTTCTTTATTGCTGATTTAGCATCCAACCTCTCCAGCTAGTTTCTGAATGCCTGACCATGCAGACTTTCCCAAAGCCTTGCCTTATATATGTACTCTTTGGCTAGTCCATTCAAAGGGTTGTCAGGTCATTCCACTATTTGAAGTCTTTAGTGCATTTTACTCAAATACCCCTTAACCATTGCACTTATATATTCCTATGTAAATCCTGACCCACTGTTGTAGCCCCACCCTGGCCTACCCCCAGGGGGTCATGATTTGAACAAACTTGAAACTACACAATGAAATATTATTACTACAATGAACTATTAACATTGAAATATCATTATTGTTTGATCTGGTTTTATGCATGTATAAACTAAGATTGTATGGCAAAATTTTGGTTCAACAATGTATTCAATTTTAAGAAATCACTAGTAGAGTAGGCGAAAATGCCTATCAAATGCACTATGGCTCCTTCATACAAGTGGTGTCGAAATCTGCAGGAAAAATTGAAAAGAAATACTGTGGACAATAAAGTATTTTTATCTGAGATTATGATAAAAGTTTTTTTTACTAAGTAAGCAGGTCCTGCACAATCTCTTGATTTAGCTATATAGCTTTATTAAGCTATTCAGAATAGCTTGATTTAGCTATTTTATCACACTTTTTTCTTAAATGTGTAATTTTCTCACCATGGACAAAAAGTTGCACCTTGCTGCAGTGATGATATTCAACCTTGAACTCATCTGATATTGATGCATGTAAAAATCACTTTTTAAAATCTCTTGAGAGACTTTGTTCTCAAATTTCTAAATGTTTTGAGGCTATATAAAGCAAATGATACAGTTACTTCTTCAATGAAATTATAAAGGAGGCCAATTATGGTCAACAAGATAATTGATTGGTAATAATTCAGTACAACAAGAAGCAATCATACTTATCCATGCCTCAACGCACACAAGGTAGTGTACAGTAACTCAAACAATGGAAATACATCTTTTGCTTAAAAGTATTCAAATGCTGCAATGTTAGAACTATCTTTGATTTCGGTTGTTGTTTTGATAGCCCATAGTACATATATGAATAGTCAAATACTTGCGACTTTTTGTCTATTTCTTACAAAAAAACATTTTTGTGAAAAACTGTATATAAATAACTTTATCAAGCTATTTTGAATAGCTTAATAAAGCTATATAGCTATTTCAAGCTATATAGCTAAATCAAGAGATTGTGCTGGACCTGGTAAGTGAACAGAAAATTGTGGGTGCCAAAATATCAGTGTGGGCTATTAAAACTTGTGAAGTTGGGAAGAACCCACATGGCCCCCAAGGTTTAAAATGTTTTTTGCAACCCTTTTTTGGGGGTAGTACCGTGTCTCTGACTGTTTCAGGGTGTGTAGCTGCTGCTAGTGCTAATTCAAGCTATATCATGTATATAGCTAAATGAGGCCAAACAAAAAAATATGTGTGGTTCCTGTTACACTTCCAAAAAAAATAGGGTAGGTAGGTAGGGATTTTTTTTTTTTTTAACAAAATGATTTTCTTAATTTTTTCTAAACAATACCTATCACTGCTTTGCAAATGGCATTTAGATGTGGTGTGATAATATACTAGTCAATATTGGTAGGGGACACCTACATGCTAGCTTGCTTTGGATTTAACATTATTAAACGCTTGCACTATGTTTTGCAAGGAGGCCGTCATTGCTGAAACTAAAACTTAAACTGGAGCCATTGATGGAAATCGGGGGAAATTCCGGAAAAAATATGAAAATTCCCAAAAAAAAGTTTAGGGTCGGAGGTATAAAATAGGGAAGGTCGGGTAACCGGAACCACACATATTTTTTTATTTGGCCTGAAGATATTATGTTGGACCTTTTTAATTAAGCAGTAAAAATTTCGACATACTTACGCTTTGTTTCGCCATTCTTTGCCAAGATATTCATCCTCTTTTTTTAATACATCATTAATAAACGTGTCAAAATTGTTAAGAATTTCTCGAAGCCTTGTAGTAGAATCAGATAATTTATCCAAACTTTTCAGTGTCTCTTTTTCTGGTAAATCAAGAGAAAAAACAAGGCCTCTCTTGCATAACGTTTTAAGAGTAGAAACAAAATCTGGCACCTTCTTATCACACACCTCGTGCGCTCTTGACTGAATTTTGATAGTGAATTCCTCAATAGTAATTGGATCGTTGTAATATGCTATTCCGAATTCATCGAGTGTTTTCGTGGTCCACTTTGAAATAGTATTTAGGTCAGCATGAAGATGCGATCTTTTTGGCCTCGCACCATAGTTTCCTGTTGTATCGCTTGAACTCGAACCACGGCAAAAGGATGTTGTTGGCCTTTTTCTATTAAATCTGGGTGGCTGAAATGGATCGTCATCAGGAGACGCCATTGTGAAACAAAGAGTATTGAAATTTTTGTATCCCGTGCCCGATCTTATGACTTCTCTGAGGCCAGGGACCTTTTACATATAGAACTATAAAATTGCCCATAACTTTTGATTGCTTGGAGCTATGGCTTTTATATTTCATATGTGCATTCCTTGTGACAAGACCTTCCTTTGGGTACCAACATATTTAACCTTTTGACCTTGACGTTGGAGTTTGACCCACTTTTGCAAAAAAAAAATTTCAAACTTTAACCTTGGCTATATCTTTTGAACAGTTGGTGCTTTGGCTTTCATACTTCACATGTGTATTCCTTTTGACAAGACCTTCCTTTGGATACCAACAACTTTGACCTTTTGACCTTATCCTTTGAGTTTTACCCACTTTAAAAAAAAGAAACGTTAACCTTGGCCTTAACTTTTGAACAGTTAATACTAGGGCCTTTATATTTCAGATATGAATTCTTTTTAACAAGACCTTCATTTGGATAACAACATTTTGACATTTTGAACTTGACATTGGAGATTAACATACTCCTGAAAAACTTAACCTTGGCCATAACTTTTGAACAGTTGGTGATAGGGTTATAATATTTCACATGTATATTTCTAATGACAAGGCCTTCCCCTGGGTTATATTTTGACCCTTTGACCTTGGAGTTTGACCCACATTTCAAAAAGTTTAAGTTTGGCCATAATTTTTTAATGGTTGGTTCTTGGGCTTTCATATATCACAGGTTTAAATGTTGAGACAAGTCCTTTTTTAAGTAACAACATTTTTAATCTCTTGAACTTGACTTTGGACTTTGACTTGCATTTGAGAAATTTTATCCTTCGCCAAAAGCTACCATACGGGGGCATCAGTGTTTCACAAACATCTTGTTTCTATTGTGACGATATGTTTTTTGGAAGTTGTGACAGTATCATTATGTCACAATAAATCAATCTTCTAATCAGAATCCAAATCATTAAAAATGTGGGAAAACTCTCTTTGCTGGTCAATAGTAAAAATTAAATGACCAGTCAATATTTTTCGTCGGAGTTCATATTAATTATGCTGACTGTTTCTCTATTTAGAGAATATAGGGACAGACTATTCTTTACTGAATGTAACAAGAGGCCCAGGGGCCATATCGCTCACCTGAACAGAAATAAGTTCAGTCTTGAAAAGTTTAAATATGAAAGTGGTTCGAGGTGATGCTTTTAAATTAAGATGACACTAAATGGCTGTTGCTGATTTTTCCTATGTATTCCTATGTAAAACTTTGATCCCCCCATGGTGACCCCCCCCCTCCATTGTGACCCCACCCTGCCCCCAGGGGTCATGATTTGAACAAACTTGAATCTTACTACCTGTGGCTGCTTCCATTTAAGTATGACTAATCATGCCTATGCTGTTCTTGTGAACAAGATTTTTAAAGACTTTTTCCTATGTATTCCTACTATATAAAACTTTAATCACCCATTGTGGCCCCACTCTTAGTAACCCCTGGGGGGTCATGATTTGAACACACTTGAATCTACACTTCCTGAGGATGCTTGCATATAGATATGACTGTTAATGGCTTTGCTGTTCATAAGAAAAATTTTTTAAAGAGTTTCCCTACATTTTCCTACTGTATATTATAAAACATTGATCACCCATTGTGGCCCCACCCTGCCCCCAGGGGTCATGATTTGAACTTGAATCTACACTACCTGAGGATGCTTGCATATAGATATGACCAATCGTGGCTTTGCTGTTCTTGAGAAGATTTTAACTATGTATTCCTATGTAAAACATTGATCACCCATTGTGGCCCCGCCCTACCTCAGGGGGGGGGGGGGGGGGTCAGGATTTGAACAAACTTGAATCTACACCACCTGAGGATGCTTGCATATAAATATGAAAAATCATGGCTTTGTTGTTCTGAAGAAGAAAATTTTTAAATATTTTTTCCTATGTATTCTATGTAAAAATTTGATCACTCATTGTGGCCCCACCCTACCCCAGGGGGTCAGGATTTGAACAAACTTAAATCTACACCACCTTAGGATGCTTGCATATAGATATGACCAATCATGGCTTTGCTATTATTCAGAATTTACATTTATTTTCTCAATGGAAGTAAATAGCAGTGGTTTCTGATCATTGATACAGTGTTGTGTTTCAACATTTTTCCTTGGGGTAAATGCCAGGTACCATATATTTAAAAATATAAATAGGTAAGCTCAATATTTACATCTTTATTCAATATCGATAATTTTCTCGAAGTCAAAAAAAAAAAACAAAAACAAACAAAAACAAAAAAAAAAAAAAACAGCAAATGAAAAAGAAAAATGGGCTCTAACATGTTCAGTGACATTTGGTTCAGAGCAAGATCCATCATAATGACGAGCTCAAAGTGATTGGTATGTAAAGGTAAAGTTAATTGATGATTTAGAGTTTATTTTCACAATAAAACTGTTTGAAACAGCATGAAAAAAATACATTGGTAAAATGTCTATAGATTGAATCACAGTTACTTTCTGGTGTTACATTGAGCGTATTTAAATATACAATGTATATGTTTTCAACAAATAAAGAGCTGGAGGTCATAGAATTAAACAAGTTCTTTTCATAAATCTTGCAACTCACACCTTTTTAACTATAATACATACGCTTTCAATCAATATTGAGTTCAGTTCAACTATTCTGCTAGAGTTCAAATCAACTGTCTGCATCTAATTCTATTTTGCCCTGATTCAAAAATTGACTGAAACAATCCCATTCTATTACAGCTGTATTGTAATGCTTTCTGCAGAGCCAGCCAGTTTATGTATTCAATACATTTGCATTGTTTCTTTTTGATCGGCAATCAATTTAGAAGAGTATTCCAGAAATGCTTAAGCTGCTTATTTATCCATCAACACTCCTTACTGGTACACGTGAGAAAGTGAAAATCACTCATTCCAAAACTTTATAATTTCACAGTAAACATCAATTTACAAATTCATAGTAATTCTGAAAAATACATTGACTTTGATACTATTCTTTGATAGATGCTATCTTTGGATCTCATCTTAATAATAATGCTATGCAGCTTATATATGAAAATACTCATGAATGACAACATCTGTCAGATCAACAAACCTTGTATTATGTCCTGATTCAATATCGGTTTGAGCCCAATGGACTTAAGCAAACCTACTGCAAAACATTTGATGTCTTTAACATATTTCATGCAGCACCGAAAATTTCAACTGTTCACAATTTTTTTGTCAACAATTTGACCCCTTGATGTCCAGGATTAAAGAATATTTATGAAAAATGCATCAATTTTGATGGTTTTAGCCCATTCTCTCAGGCCCACGGCAGACAGGTACCATAAATTCATAATTATAATTCTTCCCCTTTGTCCATAGATGCTCTATACCAAATCTGGTTGAATTTGGTTAAACAGTATATGAGAAGAAGCTAAAAAGTGTAAAGAAGTTTATGACCATTGCACGACAGATGAAGAGAGCCTTAATTACCAAAACAGATAGCAATATATGTTGTTACCAGAGTGACTCAGGTGACTTAAAACAATATTAACACCATTTTACAAAACATTCTTTATTTACAATTTTGAAAAACAATGAGATTAAAATTCAAGATGGTATTGCATTTCAATTTAACATAGATTAACAAAAAAACATGTTGAGCAGGGGTAGTAAATGGTGTATATAAATAAATTAAAAAATATATATGAAGAAATGTTAAATAAAGAAATTCACCAAATAGAATTACATGTTAATGTACAATTTAATTTTCAATTCATGATTTTAAATTTTTATACAATAAATGATACCTTAAAAAGCAAAATAATAACACTGAATAATAATCAGTAAAGTAATTCATGAGATCTTCAACAGTACAAGTATTATTTTGAAACATGTTCTACTTTGATTTTAGAAAATGTTTGCATAATATTAAATAAATTAATACAATGAAAATTTTCTTTTATCCATCTTATTAAATGAAAGCTGTCTAAGAAACACTTAAGAAAATATTATATACTTGACTTTAACAACAATTAAATCCTTCCTAAACAAGTATAAAAAAGATTCTACCTAACTTCTTAATTACCTATCAAATTAAAAAAAAAATGTTTCACATAAAATCAAACTTTTTTGTAATTGAAAACTGTCTAAGGTTCTCCAGCATTAGAACAATAAGTAAATTTAAACTTAAGTTATAGCTTCTATAATTTCTGCAGTAGTGAATCATGTTCAACACAAGGGACATTTTAGAATATTGTATAATGTTAATATTTATAAATCAAAGACACTAAATCAAATGTAACAGAATCTGAATAGAACAAAACTATCAATACAATCTGAATATATTAAATTCTCAGTGCATTAAGTTATAATATATAAAAAATACAACCTATGGCCGTAATATATCCATTTATGTACAAGCGCATTCTAATCAGGACTTTGCTGTTCTTGAGACAAAGATTTTTTAAAAGATATTTCCTAAATGTTACTGTGAATAAATTTGATCCTCATCCAATGACAGGGGTCATATTTTGAACATGCAAAACATGGATCTATACTATGTAATAAAGCTTTCATAAAAGTTTTAACTTTGCCATGTTATTTGCCCAGTGGTTTTTAAGATGCTATTTAATTTTCACACACCATACTTATTCTTATAGGTCTCCTCTTGAAAGAGGGAATTTGGCTCTTCATTTGAACAATCTTGAATCCTCTTAAACCCAAGAAAGCTTTGTGGCAAGTTTGATAATTATTGGCCTAGCAGGTCTGGAGAAGATGAAAATTGTGAAAATTTAACAATGAAACAAAAATGATTGACAAATATAGATCAGATGTGCTCAATTGAGCCTCTGACTAAAAATCCAAGAAAAAGTAGTGTATATAAGCATTTACAAAAATTCATATGTTACGCATCCAATAAATGCAATTCTGTTTACTTTTAAAATAGATAAAATATTAAAACTTTTACTATTTATAGAAATAGTTATCAATTTACAAATAATAAAATGTTTCATTTCAACATATTCAAAATGACAGAATACTCCAACAACCACTGATATTTTTAGCAAAAATGAAATCTTGTCAGACAAGGTTGTTTTTCAAAGGCATATTGAGTTTTTAATAGCATGCAGCATTGTTTATGGAGGGGGGGGGGGGGTCTGAAACAAAACTTTGAACAATGAATTTGAATGTAAGAGGATTGACTGTACTGCTACAAAAAAAGGGGGGGGGGGGTGATTGACAATTTCCTTACTATATCTGTATATTACTCTCAGAAAAAATTACCTGTCTCTTAAAATATTTTATATGTCTGTTCTTTTCTTGTTTTATTCTTTTGAAGACTTCTGATGACTGTCATCAAAAACATATTCTGAAAAAATGAAAACAATCAATATATTTGTTTTCAGAAAGTGTTTAAATTCCCTGAAGAATTAAGGGTTATTAATCTTATCATCATACACATAGTAACATATAGTATTTTACTGACACAAGTCCTGTTAATGTTATCTCCTTTTACAACCATACACTGTTATGCAGGGCTAGGCACTGCAAGTATACAAGAAATATCTCCATAAAACATGAATGCCCCATCCAGGGTTCATTAGTAATGTACGTAACATAAACATTTGCAAGTTTATGAAGTTTGATGAAAATACCTTTAATACTCTCTTTAAAAACCAAGTATTGAAAAAAAGAGGTTCACAGGCCTTATAGGTCATCTGAGTATCATGTAATTGAATTTGGTTCATGTTTTAAACCAGAGGCCATGAAATTCACAATTTTGAAAGAGGCACCACTGCTCATAAAACTATATACAAAGCATGCTTAGTTTGATTACTTAAGTTAATACCCAGAGGCAGAACAGAGGAACAAAGAAACAAGAGGCCCAAGGGCCTTAACTGTCACCTGAATTTAGAGGATCCATAGAGCATAAAATGAACTGAAAGGTGAAGCTTTGTTGTCCAAAAGCAAGAAAAATAGGGTGATCAGGATCAACAAAATAATTAGTCTACTGTTCATTAACAGTTCATAAATTAGGTTCTAAATCTGTTCCCCATTTATCTCTATCACCATACAGTATATGAACAAATTATCAGTGATTCTGTACTATTTCAATTCCTGGATGAAATCCCTTACATTGGACTCTCTTGGTCTTTGATGAACATTGAATAAGACAAGTTATTTTTGTCTCATTTTATTTATTACTTACAAGTCTACCTGATCATTTAAACTATAAAAGTACTTTTTGTATTATACAATAAAAAATCTTGCATAATTCTCCTCTTCTATTAACCTTTCAAGTACATTATTTACAGTGATTAATTATCAAAAGTAAATAGCAAAGGGGAATAACTCCTCTCAGTTGAATACAAATTAATAGAGCTCTGACCAGGACCAGAACACTTGACAAAATGGTCCAGATGTTCAAAAATCTTTTTTATATTAAAACTTTTACTCTTTTTGCCTCTGATATGTCCAGGTGCAGAGAAGATTTTCAAAGAAATAATGCATTTTTACTACAGATTCTCTATATTATCAATAGAGCCCCCCCCCCCCTCCCCTCCCCAGCACCAGAACCCCTGACCTTGGGGCCATGAATTTCACAATTTTGGTAGAGTCACCCTTACTTATCATAACTTTGTATTCAATTTGTTTCAATAATACCTAGGAGTAGAGAAGAAGATTTTCAAAGAAATAATGCACTTTCACTATATGATCTATATAGCCCCACCCTAGCACCAGAATCCCTGACCCTGGGGCCATGAATTTCACAATTTTGGTAGAGGGCTCAATGCTTATTACAATCATGCCAACAGTTTGACTGCTTGATGTCCAGGAGTAAAGAAGAAGATTTTTAAAGATAGCACTAATTTTGATGGTTTTAGCCCCACCCCTCAGGCCCCAGGGGGGTAGGGACCATGAAATTCACAATTTTTGTACCCCTTCACCTGTTGATGCTATATGCCAAAATTGGTTGAAATTGGTTCAGTGGTTCAAGAGAAGAAGCTAAAAATTTTCAAAAGTTTACGACCGACGCACATTGCACGACGACGGACGAAAAGAGATAGCAATAGGTCACCTGAGTGACTCAGCCCCAGCCACTCTTATCTACACAGTGCCTCAGCATCTGTTATCAGCATGTGCCCCAGAGAGATTTCAGGAGGATGCTTAGCGCTTGATATAAACAAACACATGCTTTGTTTACCTTTGTATCTCTTAAATTATTCCACTTATATCAATAAAATTTTTACACAACAAAGAAAACAAAATTCTGAATTCATCAGTGTAATTTTCTTCACAAATAATGGAATATTTTTAGTCATCCACCATTGTGTTTGTAATGCCACACTTGAAAGTAACACTATAATTTCATTTTCCATTTTTTCCTTTATTTTATGAATATTTATAAGGTAAAAGTTAAGAAAGATTTGTTAGAACCTTTCTGATTGGATAAATCACAACCTTTCTGGCTGAAATCCAATTATTCAGCCAATCAGAGGCCTTTTTCTAAACCCTATGTTGGCTTCGCCTCTAGTGATTACAGACAATATTTTAAAATTGTAAAGTTTAAAATTGTATCTGCTTAAAAAGCTAATATAGGAATTATTACTACATCTAAACAATTAATTTGATATTGATCTTGGCAAACTCTTGACAGAAGATGTCCTCTTGTTTATAACAATTTTTTTCAGTCTGGGGAAAGGAGGGGGGGGGGGAGGGGTAACGGACTTAGTAAAGATATGACATTTAAAAAAAAAATGGAAAATTTTTAAATCATATCAACTATTTATTGTGAAAAGAAGTAATTAAAATCAGGTTTAAAACTTCGCTTTATTTAACAACTTGGAGACTGGGTGTTTGCATGTACATTCATATATGTGTAATTGAAAATAATTCAGTGTAATTGACAAAGATATTCTTTTGTTTCCAAACCATTATCTTTTTTTACTTTTTGTCAGTTTATGGTATAATGTACACACTATTTCAATTTTATCAGGTAAAGTTAGCACCCATGCTCTGCAATTTTCGTCATATTTCCCTACTTTTGTTTTAAAAAAACTGTCTACATATTTATCAAATTTTTTTTTAACTAACTTCTTCTTCCAAAAAAAAAAAACACATTGTCTCTCCTTGTTTAATCTATCTTACATTATTTCAAGTAATTTTGTATTCCTCTACTGCTCCAGGCTACATGTAAGTTACATTGTCAGCTGTGTTTGTTCAAGTGAGAGTGATTTCCTACTTGTAGGTTTCAGTTTTCACACCTCTGCTTGCATTAAATAAACAAAGGAGCTAATCTGTATACATTGAATAAACAAAGGAGCTAGCCAGAAGTATACACACTTTTGTATGGTACATCTAAAAAATTTCATTTTCGCCACTTTAAATTTCTTTTCGCCACTTTTGAAAAAAAATTGCATTTGGCGCAAATGGTGCATCACAGCTCGAATACTGAGAGAAACTCTTCCTCATCATAACCTTGTACATATTTCACTGGTTTAATACCCAGGAGCAGAGGAGAAGATTCTCATAGAACTAATGCAGTTTCACTATATAATCATTAGAGCCCCTCCCTAACACCAGAACTCCTGCAGATTTGTATAATATTTAAATTCAAACATTTCTTGAAAATTTGGTTTCATTTTCAAAATTATTTCAAAAGTTTTATTATTTCGAAATTTTGACACAAGTATCGTCTCAGTTTATGGTCCTGGGGGCCTGAATTTGAAATTCACTGTTTTTTTATTCTCTACGAGTCGCCCGTGTGGCGCAGTGGTTATGGAGCATGTACACTACAACAATAAATTGATCCTTATGTGATGGGTTCCAATACCTTTGGGGGGCATGAAACTGGTTGCTTGGATTCCACCGGATAAACCGAGGACTTGTGTCACAGTAGATACTGGTATGAAAAGAATCCCTCACTGCCGATTGCACCTGAGTGCCGAATATAAGTCTAAATTTGCAGCCATCCACCAGCAAGTGGTGGAGTCAAAATATTAATATGAGTGAAAAATTCTCGAAAGAGACGTTAAACAAAAAAATTCTGTGACCATTAATTTAAGCATCCGAAAATACATGTTATGTAAAAATGCAATATAATAAAAAGTTCGCAGCGTGAAATATTCACAAGTAAAAGAAGGTCGCAAAACTTACAGATATGTCTAGCACGCAAATTAAAGTTTGTTTATGAGTTGCATTAATTACATCCAATACTGTAACAGCATAATGTTTATACAATACTGTAGATCATGAAATTTGCAATATACAAATTGTCGTATTCATGCCTCCGTCCTTCAGTACTTTCAGTACATTGATTTAAGAAATTTAGATACATGATAAAAACTCTTTAATTATAATCAAATGTAACAATTCTTTTTAATATATAATTGAACATTTTGGACCAGAGCTCTGGGTCTATGCAAAATATTGAAAAACAACTTAAATTTTTGGCCAGTTTTGAAGAAAGTTTTATGATATAAGAAATTTGATGCATTCATAATGTCAGAATACATGGACTAGCAAGAAAATTACATCATTTTTGATAGATATGCAGTCATTTAGGGTCCAAATATTAAATTTAATTTATTAATTGTATTTCAACTAAAACTAAGCAATTGCCAAAGAATAAAATATTCTTTAATAGCTTCTTTGAAACTGAGCTTAGAACTGAGCTAAACATAATGTGCGACGGAAGGACAGAAGGATGGTAGGAAGAAAAGGACAGAAGACAGACATGACAAACTTTATTATATGTCTCAGCCATATTCAAGGCGAGTCATAAAAATTACCTTTCTCTTCTTCATCAGCAAATTTGATGATCTTTTCAGAGACCTGTGAGATTGATTTTTGACGAAGTTGAGGTAAATACATCAAACTTGAATTTTTCACAATTTTATCAAATCTTTTTTTCCCAAGCTGTGGGATGAGGTTTGCAGTTCCCTTTAACTGTTGTATCACATGTTGACCAGGTTGGCTACAAAACAAACTGTGATGAATCATTAGCCACAAGTCAACAATGGTGGAAAATTTGAGGAATTGCAAGTCATCATCAAAAAGATTTAAAGGCTTGTTGCATTTTAAAAGAAAGTCATGTTCAGGATCATAGACAGCAACTTCATAGGAATCATTTGATATAGCACAAACTGGCACCATTGGTACATAGGAAACATTCCCCATTTTGCTACATTCTAAGTACTTCCGATACTGGCAAAGAGATACAGATATTGCTTGTTTACACAACTGTTTTTCATCTAGAAGTTTTGTTTCTGATTTGTATTCACCGGCTGCAATATCATCATTAAAGTCACAACTCTTCATCCAGTCTTTGTTTATCAATCTATGACCATATATTTCATCAGTCGTTTTTTTCACTGTAAACACAGCAGATTTGTTGTAGGATGTACCCATAAAAAGATTTCTGTTTGTGGGTATGAGAACAACATCCACAAATCCATAGAAGAGATGAGGACTACCTGGAAAAGAAAATCAAAGTAAATCATAGTACTGAAAGTAATGAACCCTATTGATATCTTCAATTGAGAATGGGTATCTATTCCCAAGATTTCAAAGCTCAAGTCGACGAATATCATTTATAAGTAAGACAAATCTCATTCCAAACTTTTTTTTCTAGCTAGATCCTAGGATTAAAATCCATGCAAATTTGATAGTAGGACTAAGGACTTATATATACTTGGGAGTGGACCTGCACCAAAATCTTTAACCTGTTTACTCATCCAAAACAAAGGTAATCAAAGATTACAAAGCTCACCTTGATGAATGTAATGTAGAACTAAGGCAAATTTCACAACAATTTTCTTCTGGTTAGTGTACATAACAAGAACAGTATCTATTTAAGTTGGGTTTAAGTAGAATTTATACTTCTTGGGAATAGATCTGCTTCAAAACTTAAACCTGTTCACTCATCCAGAAAATGTAGGTCAGTTCCAGCATCCGAAGCAAGTCTGGTAGTGTCCAACCCTAAATGCATAATCAATGCAATCTAATCACAAAGGACCATATACGAGGGTTGTTTGGAAAGTTCGTGGACTAGCGCCATAAAATTAAAACCGCTCAAGATACATCGATGAATTTTTTTAGGTTTAATTAGCATAATCTTTTTTATTTATATAATAAACTATACATCATTAGTTTTATTTTTTAATACATTGTTGATGTTTTTGATAGCAATGGTATGTCCAGGCGGCGCAACCTCAAAGATTACGTTTTTTCTACGGATCCGAAGTGTAACTGAGAAAAAAACTCTTTTTTTGATGTGAGCATTTGTCATTCAAAAATGCAGTTAATTCACTCATGTGGTATGACACAATTGTACTGTAAAATTTGCAATTTTTACCCCATTCTGTAAGTTCTATGAAATTTTATTGTAAATTTTATATGAAATGTCCAAACAATTCTTGGGTTGTAATGACGTCAGAAAGGGGGGTGGGTTTCTTTTTCCAACATTCTATAAAGTTTCACCCTCTGGAAAAACTGGCATAGACCTAGGAAATATTTATGTGGGCTTCTGAAAAAAAAATGCATTCAGAGTACTTGTTTTTAAATGTCGAAAAAGATTAGAGAGACAAGAGATGTAAAAGTTAATGTCGATTTGTAGTAAGGGTGTTTAAAGTTTGTCACGTCAAAAAGTGACGTTGATCATGTGTGATAGATGTTGAACTCCGACAAGCAAATATGCTGTTATAATCAAGTGAGGATCTTTCAGATCTATTTACAAAATTATATGCATTGAAATCAGCTGTTTATGACATTGTAAAATCATATAAACAAGACGGGTTTAAATCTTTACTTAACTCCAAAGAAACTCATCAAGATAAGTGTATGAGGTAGAGAATGCGGACATTGAAAAACAATGACGCCACGAGACTAAATGGCGACAGCGCCGGGTGATCATATAATATCTTATTAATTTTATGATAATTTGGTAAATATTCAAGGAATCAATTTTCAATATTTCTTCAACTTTTGTTGTTTTATGTTCATTGGAAATTTTGTAAGCATAGACTACATAGCATTAATTTTATCGCATCAGTCCATGAACTTTTCGAACAACCCTCGTAGATATGGAGCTACTCCAAAAATATTAACCTGGTGACCTGGTGACTTACGTGGAAAATATATGTCAGATCCAGCATCTGAAGCAAGTCTAGTATATATGCATCATTCATTCAAGTTTGGTCCAGGTAGGGCTATAGTTACTTGGGAATGGACCTGCTCCAAAAACTTTAACCTGGTCACTCATCTGGAAAATGAAAGTCAGATCCAGCATTCAAAGCAAGTCTGGTAGTGTCCATTCCTAGATGCATCATTCATTCAAGTTTGGTCCAGGTAGGGCTATAGTTACTTGGGAATGGACTTGTTCCTAAAACTTTAACCGGGATGCCAATGCTTATGCAGATGCTTAACACCAACACTGGGGTTATAGCATAAGCTCATCTCTACTTGGTCAAGGTGAGATTAAAATGTAGGTCAATTACAACATCATCAACAAGACTGGTTGTGTCCATCCCTAGGTGCTTCATCTTAATCAGTATTAAAAAGATTAAATATGTAAGTGGTCCCAAATAACCCTGCCACCCAATCTTGATTTATTCAAACTTGAATCTACACTGACAAAGGATGCTTCATATTTTTTTTATTAGTCATGGCTTTAGAAGATTTTTTCACACACATTTGATCTTCTATTATAGCCCCATTCTATCACTCAGGGACACGATTTGAAAAAAAAAATTGAACCTACCTATTGATGATTCTGACTTAATCTGACATATCAAGGCTTAGCTGGCATTGAGAAGAAGATTTTTTGAAAGATTTTCTTATATATTTTTATGTAAAACTTTGATCACCCATTGTGGACCCACACTGACCCCTGGGGTCATGATTTTAACAAATTTGAATCTACATTTCCTAAGGATGTTTAAATTTACATAAGATCAATCATGGCTTTGCTTGTCCTTGCTGACTGGTCACACCCGCTGTGTTCTCCTTGTCATGATCGGGAAATAATGAAAAAATCCGTCGACAATTCAGTGTGTAAATAATGGCCTAACAATTAGTATGAAAAACGTCAGTCAGCATTTGACTCAATGATAAATTGTATTTGCTGACAAGGTCATTCTATCGACCATAGAACTTACGAAATGATGACTTTACATGAAACTGCTGATACTCTTGTTTCATCAATTTGTTTGTCAACAATTTACCTCATTTTAGAAATTGTACATACGTAGAGTATCTCGTTTTAGAAATTGTACATACGTAGAGCATGCTCTTGCGTATCGAAACAACTGAGAGATATAAACCCTGTATGCAGGTGATGAAGGTATATTGCTGCATAAGTAAGGGAAGTTGACGATTGAAAAGTTAAAGTCATCACGTTTATCATAAAGCTTGGTTGTTAGATTACCATTAACGTCTTTTTCAAGTAAAACATCCAAATATGAAACAGATGTGTCAGACTCTGTGGTATCTTTTATCTCAAGCTCACCGGGATATATCGTACTGACATAAGAATGGAAATAACCATTGTTAATTGACAATACATCATCGATATATCTAAATGTTGAGTTGAAGGCCACAGCAAGTGTTTTCTTCTTTTCACATGTATACAAGATTTTGGACAAATTCTGCTTCATATGAATACAAAAATAGGTCTGCTAATAACAGGGTGCAATTGGTACCTATGGGAATTCCAACAGGTTGTTGGAAGACCTGGTCTCCAAAAACCATATAGATATTGTCAATCAGAAACTCAAGCATCTTTTTAATGTCAACTTCAGAATAAATTTCAATCTACATTATTATACCTCTCCTGATTTTTCACAATATAAGAGTAAATAGATATATTTATATTTTTATATATATATATATATATATAATATATATTTGCTGATTCCCTGAAAATCACTGTCTAAAGACTGATTCCTCAATCCATCCATCTGTCTGTATGTCTGTCTGTCCATCTAGCTGTCCCTCTGTCTGTCTCACTTGGTTTTCTGCACTTTTTCTTTAAATGCTTGCAGATATTGAGCTGATTTTTGATATGTGAGTGTATCTTGATGAGTAACAGATTAAGTTTACATTTTGTTCCACTTCATTGATTTTTGACAGAAATATGATCTTTTTCAATTTTTAAGGGTTTTCTGCAATTTTTTCTAAACATTTGAAAATATTGAGCTGATTTTTGGTATGTGACTTTACCTTGATATTAGCTAAAGATCAAGTTTGCATTTCATTCCGCTTCAAAGATTTTTGGCGGAATTATGGTATTTTTAATTTTTAACGGGAACCAGATTACACTTGCTGGTAGGGGACTCGAATTGCTAATGCAATATTCTCAGAATGCTTATTTTGATTACATTGTCGATAAGCAATGTTGGACAATATTTTTGTTTATCTCTATAGCAGTGTTAAACTTATTTTTTCTCGGTAAAATAATTTAAAAAGTTACGCAAATTGTACAGATTTGTTTTAAAATTGACCTAAATTTTATGGATTTGGGGTCATTTTTCATAAATTTGAGCCTTTGAAAAGTCAATCCTTTAAACAGGATGACCTCAATGGTTCTGAGAAAAAAAGTATCGACCACACTGCTCAACGCATTATTGGCTATTCGGTTGCTATCGGGCTATCGGTGGATAACAATTTTGACAGGTTAGTAAATTGTAAGTAAACACCATTAAAATAGACACAGAGAATGTTGATTATGCTTTTTGTGAACAAGAATAAATACAGATACAAAATACAGTTATTATAGTATTTATGAGTCTTGGGAAGACTTTAAAAGTCAAATTTGTTACAGACCCTGAAACGTGCTACTACCCCACACGCACGCTGCACGAACGGTACACGCTCGCTACACGGTTTGCACGAAACGCTGCATGGTTTACATGAAACGCTACACGGTTTGCACGAAACGCTACACGGTTTACACGAAACGCTTTGCACGAAAGGCTGCACGGTTTACACGAAAGGCTGCACGGTTTACACGAAAGCCTGCACGAAATGCTTTGTACACGTTTCTCACACGCTTTGTACACGATTCTCGCATGTTTTGGCCTCGATCTGGATTTTCTATTCGGAATCTCTCGGACTTTATCTAAATTAAGTAAATTACGGATTAATCAAAAATTAGTTAAGAATTGCAATCATTCAGATTAAGTTAGGATTAGAACTCGCTACTCCAGTACTATATTAACAGATAAAAATACACAATGTTAAGTTGTATTTAATTAATATTATAGTTCTCATTGAGTATGTGACGCGCCCGGTGAAATGCCTATCAACGTCTATGTATTAAACTTTTTCACTAGACTCTAAATTACCCACTGAAAAAAATAATTTTATTTGTAATTCATAATCTGTACAGCATTCAATGTTTTTACAATTATAGTTTGATATTAACAAATCGTTTTATTACTGACAAATAATATACAATTATTGATTTGAAAAAAAA